TGTTGTACATATATGGCTTTATACCATATATACATATGCTTCATAGTCCATCGTTCGTACATGTAGCGTCGTTTCTTTTCACCCATGACTTATTTGACTCATGACTTGTCACACCTTATTTTAATACCAAATTTTATATCAAGTAGGAACAATTGAAACTATTTTTCAAGTCATTAAGTTAGAAAATTTTGAACTTTTAAAATTTTCTTCTTCGGTTATTATTCTTGAAAATCTTTAATTTCTCCAAACTTCGCAAAATCATAACCATTTCTGGAAAATCAAAATGATACGGTTCTAAGTCCTACTTGGAGCCTGCAATGAGCTCTTTAAGGAAAAAATATAATCAGAGTACGAATCTAGTTCATGTGTGCCCAGTTTTCACATCAACATATACTGTTCATTTGGTTATTTTTCTAATTTTTCAGAATTTATGCCCAACTTTAGAAGGGCATAACTCTTTGTACAAAACTCTAAATTTTATGAAATATGACTTGTTTTAAAGCTAAGAATATGATCTATTGGACTGTTAAGTTTTAAATCCAAACTCCATCATGCTCAAAATTTCATATGATCAAACTTTGCCCTTAAAAAGTTAACTTTTATCCTTTTTCAAGTATAACTTATCCAAACAAAGCGATAGCCATTGCAACATGATTTAGTCTCATTTCACAACATATAGTGAGCCATTTAATATAACTTACAAGTCACAAAGGTCATCCATACACATATCCATACATATTACAAGACTTGTACATAAAGTTCTACATAACTTCATAACAATTTTCCTTTATGGAAACATCACCTCTTTGCCTTTGGTCACACCACTTGAGGGTCCTATTGGTTGTTTATACATAGAAAGGAATGAGATTTCATAGAAATCTCAGTTGTTAGATTTAAGGTTTTGATGATAATAAATCAAATATGTTCTGGTTTAGTATGTTGATCGATCACCTGATCGATCAAAAGACACTAGTGCAAAATACCCCTTTTAGCTTCTGTTAAAAAGAACCTTTCTCTACTATATATGTACTGTAGTGGAAGCAACTGTAGCGGAAAGTAGGACTTACGGCTTCTATTCTTAGAGAACAGAAGTCGTAGGTTGCGTGAATATAAGTGAGGCCATACATATTCGGATACGGCTTCTGTTCTGCACTAGAACAGAAGCCATAGGTTGGACGTATGGCTTCTATTCTCCACTAGAACAGAAGCCGTAGGTAACTTATGGCTTCTGTTATATGCTATAACAGAAGCCATATGTCTAGGTAGTGTTTTTTTAAAAATATTTTTAATTAAATAATAATTGCACTTAAAAACCTGTTAATTAATACAGCCAACTATATCTAATATTAAATATAACCACCAATTTACAATGTATTTTTACAACCAAACCACATAAATTGTCAACAAAAGTATGAACCTAGTATTAACATGTTTAACAAAAGGATAAACATGTAGAACTTGCTATACATCACCTTCTATTCTAATTTTGTTAAATTCAAGAAATACTCTGACCATATGCTGCGTATTTCTCTCATCTATAAATCAGAATATGGGTCCAAATTTTGAAAATGTTGCCAAATGCAAAAAAATTGTAACATCAGTAATATTAAAAACAACTCAATATTTATACTAGAATTATTATTTTCATATAATATTATTACCTTGTGGAATGAGTTGGTTATACCCCCAGAGATGATTTCATACATATACCTCATCACATAATATCCACATTCCACATCTTTTAGTTGTTTATGGCACTACAAATATGCACAAAACAAGAGTGATCAATATAATTAATCTCACCATTGTTTAAATTTAAAATACATACCTTTACATAAACCCAATTGACAAAACTTCGGCTATTCTTTCTCATCAATTTAGAGTGCATCTTCAAAGATCTATTTATATCAAATACTTGTAAGAAATTGATTTATAATGATAATATATTTGTAAAATAAAGTTACACACAATACTTACGATTCAAGAACTCCTTTCATATCTTCACTTACTTCCCATTGCAGAGAACAAAACCAATATATGGTCCAGTCAGATGGACAGATAACAACAAGTCTCCAATGACCACTACAACATGAGTTAACATTAACACCATATCATTAAGAAAGTTTTCATTTAATTAAGAGGTGAATTAGAACGAAGTACCTTTCTATAATTGGTGCAAACCAACACTTTTTATTTCCTTCTTTAATCGTACTTCCAATGTATGATGTTCTCCCACTGAAAGTATTTCCGATTGGTTGAATATGATGTGGACATAAGAATCCATAATTATTAGCCCTACCCAATTCTTTGCAAAGATTGTGGAGATACCTATAAGAATGAAAAATAAGTTAGTAAGAAAATTAAAAACAACATATATGTAAAGTTAAAATAAAATTCATACTTACATGAGACAAAATTGAATTATTGATATGTTTAGCAAATCAAAAGCAAGAAATTCAGCAACATCTCTCTTGAAGATTGTTAATTCAATAGCTCACCCCACAATCTCTCTACTCATATCTAGTTGAACAGTATTGTCCATATCAACAAAAGCTAAAGCTAGCTGGCTCAAGCTATCTCGCTTTGGTTTGGCACTACGTTCAATAGCATGTTGAGGATTTGAATCAAAAGAATCCCTTGATTGGTAGACTTCCTAATCAATGACAAATATAAAATTAGAAATGCATACCATGTGAATTAGGAAGTGAAAGATCATAAATAATTCATACCTCAGTGGTAGTGGTAACTAGATGCCTTAGCCAAAGAATGAAATTATGTTTAGCTTGTCCCACTGTTTTTACCTCCTCATCAGGGAATGGCACTAATGCATTAGCATCCACAACCTCTTCAACCACCACCTTCACCTGGTAATCTAGAATCTCTTGATGATGGATCCTTGTTGCAAATTTGTATACCTTTCCATGTGCAACTAAACGTTTATTAGGATCCTTTACATAAAGCATACATGACACTTCTTCTACCACACAACTACCTTTTGTACTTAGAGGCATAGAAGGTTGTTGTGCTTGCAAAGACTGCGAATGCATCGAACTAAAAGATTTCATCATTGATTGCATTTGCATAATTTTTTCTTGAAAATCTTTCTCTAGTGCTGTTACTCTTGCATCAGCTTTCTTTTCTGCTTCCTCTATCATCATCTGCACCTGCTGTAATGGTACACCTTTTGGGCCATGAGTAGAAGGTGGTAGTCCAAAGTATTCTCTAATACCGACACTTCTTGGTAATCCTCTAATGCGGCCAGGGTGCTCTTCCTTCTCTAATGTTGTGGTTAATATATCCTGCCTACCAATAGGAACAAAGGTTCCTTGAGTAACTGCTTCTTCCAAGGAGTCCTATGACAAGTAAATAGGAAATGCAATCAGAAAACTATTCCTTTAGCATATAACAAGTTTGTTAATTACAAAATACTTACAATCTTTTTTGCTACTTCTCTAGCCTTTTTAGTAAGAAACTCCCCTTTCTTATTCATTCGAGCTCTCTTCCATGCTTGAGCATGATTGACAGAAGATGGAGGAGAAACATCTCCATCATCCTTTGCCTCTGCAAGTTGTCTCTTAGCCTCCCATTTTTCTTCCATCATTTTGTTGTTTAGCAATGCATAACCTCCACGAGACAAGGTATGGGGGTACAGATTTTTTTCCTGTTTCTCCTTACCTCTTTTTCTTTTTTCCTAATAAAACAATGAAAAATATTTATAAAAAAGAAAACATTAAATAAATACTGCTTTAACATCAAATTCTTCTTTTACTTACCAAAAAATCATAATTGTATCTGCTTTCAACAAATTTCATCCATGTCCTTTCATCAATATATGAGTATTTCTGCCAAGGCTTTTCAAAGTTAGTGTCATCATCAACATCATGATCACTTTCACTGCCCTTTTCATTAAATATATAATTTCTTGTGAGTTTGGACTTAAAGTCCCTCCACCGCGCTGCTGCATAAGAGCCACTTGTCCTTCATAAACATTGTATCAGGTATGTCATAAGTAATCTGCAAAAGCAACACATGTAAGTAATAAAATTAGTAATAACATATACTACAATACAATAGCTAAATAAAAAGTAGATATAGGATACAATGAGAGGTACCAATATAGTATCCCAAACTTCATTTCTATCATTTTGTCTCACTTTATCCCATTCATCTATCAAAATGCTAATTTTTTGACGTGCAACAAGTGCAACAAAACTTCTAAATGTGTTCCCTTCTTTCCAATCAGTAACAAAACTTCTAGATAGGTATTCAGTACAAAACTCAACAACCTCTTCAGCAACATATCTTTCAACAATAGACTCTTCAGGTCGATGTGGATTCTTCACATACCCTTTAAGGATTTTCATATATCGCTCAAATGGGTACATCCAACGCAAATAAACTGGGCCACACAACTTTATCTCTCTCACCAAATGTATAATTAGATGTACCATGATATCAAAAAATGACGGCACAAAGTACATTTCAAGTTGGCATAAGGTAATGACAATATCATTATGCAATTCATCCAATTTCTCTGGGTCAATGACTTTACTACATATGGCATTGAAGAAGGAACATAATCTAATTATTGTATTTCTCACCTTTTTCTCTAATATGTCTCGAATTGCTATTGGTAAGAATTGTTGCATCAAAATGTGGTAATCATGGGACTTCATGCCTACTAATTTTAAATCCTTCATTGATACAAGCTTTTTGATATTTGAAGAATATCCTTGCGGCACCTTAATACTTTGTAGACATTGACAAAAGCTTTTTTTCTCTCTTTTCGACAAAGTATGATAGGCTGGGGGCATGTAAGTTCTCTTTCCATCAGTTCTTGGACCCAAGTGTGTTCGAATCCCCATTTCAAGTAAGTCTAATCTTGCTTTCTTACCATCCTTGCTCTTTCCCTTTATATTTAATAGTGTTCCAATTAGACTTTCACACACATTTTTTTCCACATGCATCACATCAATACTATGCTTTACCTCAAGATATTTCTAATAAGGGAGATCAAAAAAGATAGACTTCTTCTTCCAGAGATTCTTCTCAGTTACTCTTTTTTGGCTTTTACCCAATACTGTATCAATGTCTTTCACCCGTTCATATACTTGGTCTGCAGTAAGTGGCTCTGGAGGGTCCCTATACTCTTGAAAGCCATTAAATTCCTTTTTCTTCCTTCGATAAGGGTGTCCTCGTTCAAGAAATCTTCGATGACCAAGATAAATTGTCTTCTTTCCATGTGATAACTGCTGGTGAGATGTCCTGTCTTCACATATAGGGCATGCATTGTGCCCTTTAACACTATATCCAGATAAGTTTCCATAAGCAGGAAAATCATTTATTATGCAAAAAATCATAGCTCTTAACTTAAAAGACTCTTCATGATATGCATCAAATATATCTATACCTACCTCCCACATCATCTTCAAATCATCAATCAACGGTGCTAGATAAACATCTATATCATTTCCTGGCTGTCTTGGGCCAGAAATCATCAAAGATAACATAATATACTTGCGTTTCATACACAACCAAGGAGGTAGATTATAAATCACTAAGAGAACAGGCCATGAGCTATGTTGACTGTTAAGATTTCCATAAGGATTCATCCCATCCGTGCAAAGTCCAAGCCTAAGATTCCTAGGATCATTACTAAATTCAGAAAATAATTGATTAAACCTTTTCCATTGAGAAGAATCAGCAGGATGTCAAAGCATTCCGTCAGTTTTCCTTTCTTCAACATGCCATCTCAACTTCTTTGCCTCATTTGCATTAGCAAATAAACGTTTAAATCTTGGTATTATAGGAAGATACCACAATACCTTTGCAGGAGGCCCCTTAGTAATAACATCACCACCCTCCATCTTTTTTACTTTATAACGTGATGTCCCACAGACCGGACATGCATCCAGCTCATCATATGCCTTTCTATATAATACACAGTCATTGGGGCAAGCATGTATCTTTTTATATCCTAATCCCATTGGGCACAATATCTTCTTTGCCTCATAATTACGATCTGGAAGTATATTACCTTCTGGAAGCATATCTTTCAACAATATAAGCAACTCTGTGAAACTCTTATTACTCCACCCATTTTTTGCTTTTAAGTTGACTAGCTTTAACACTGCTGTCAACTTGTGTACTTTGTACACCCAGGATATAAAGGCTTTTCGGCATCATTGCACAAGTTACTATATTTATGTAATTGCTCAACAACATCAACACCTACATCATGAATCATATCTTCCACTCGCTCATCCATATCCATATCATCTTTCTCAATCTGGCACACTTTATGTTTTTTAGACTCACCATGCAATACCCATTGTCTATATGCTTTGTAGAACCCAAAACAAATCAAGTGATCCTTTATTTCTGTTGTAACTTGTCGCAACCCATTCATGCATTTAACACAAGGATAATAAAACAATCCATTGTTATTAGGAACATTATTCTTTGTAAATTCCAAAAATTGATCCACCCCATGCTCATATTCGTCACTTGTTCTTAGAGCGTTAATCCAACTACGATCCATGATTACCTAATTCAAATATCAACACCTTATTATTTTTTGAGGTAATAAAAAACCCAGCAGCATGACAGCTTAAAAAATGACGTCTCCCATGCATTAAACCCTCAATTTAACCTTGTTATCTCCTAATCAAACATATATTCCAACAAATCTCAATGATATTTCTCATTTACACTAACTCCAGAGCAATGTGACTTTTATAAACTCTGATCAAATTTAATTCAACTTCAAAGCTATACATTACAAATTCTAACTTCATTCAAACTCTATAAGTTCTAATTCAACTTCCAAGCAATAGGATACCAAATGAAACAACAGGGCAAGTTTTCAGAGTCAATATGATATTCTAACAAATATAATCTCAATAATACTCATCAATACTAACTCTAGAAAAAAAAGTGACAATTATCAAATATCATCAAAAAAACTTTGGTCAAAGAATGATTAAAATTTTATTAATATGAGAAATTATATATTATAAAAAAATGCATTATTTATTTGTAACCAAAGTAATTTTGTGTATGTTACATCAAGTATTATGCATATGCATCAATTCTATTTCACATTATCATCTATTTTTGTCCCTTTTCGACATATATAATAAATTAAATCAAATCAAACATATTTAGTCCTCAAGTATGATATATTAACTAAGATAAGTCATGTTAATAAAATTTAACAGCTCATAAGTTTAATAACAAGAACTAATCTAAACTTTCTGAATATTAGGATCTAAAAATTGAATAAACTATATGACAATAGAAAATATTAATTTAACCCAAAAGAATAAATAAAATAATTGCACACGGTTGAATATTTTATTCTTCCACATTCATTTAATCTCTCTCTTCTCTCGTATCTTATTTGTTTGCTCTCTAAAGCATTCATCTTCCATTATCACTTCCTTTCATTTTATGTATGTTGTTAGGTCTAAATCATCATAAAAAAACCATATTTGTACAGGATTAAGCATTTGGAAAAACACAATGACATAAATATGTAAACTTGCCTTTTTAGAAAAAACCATCAGAAGATTTCTGTGATAAAAACATAACTGAAATTTCAGAACAAGATTTCAGGAGAAAAAACAAAACCTGTTACATTTGAAAAAAAATTGCTCGCCGCATAAACAAAATATGATTTCAAGAAAACTGTTACATTTGAAAACCCAGAGTTCAGCAATAGAAATAGAGTTCAACAAACAAATATTTCAACAAGACAATTTAGAACTAGTTTTCGGGGGGAAAACCTGGTGCATTCACTTGCCGCACATATGATTTCAGCAAAAGTCTTACTTATTAAACTAATTGGTGCCAAAAGCATAAGAACTGATTTTTGATAGGTTCACAGCTAAATTGACTGGTATTGGTTCAGCAACAGATCAATCGCGCAACCTCATTCCTTTACTTTTATTGGTTTCTGTTTCTATCAAATGAATTAGTTCAATGACCACTGCTCCATTTTCCTAGTTTGATCAGAATGTAATTTTTGCATAACATAGTGACATTTAACACAAAAAAAGACATTCACATTCTTGACAGCATCCCTTCGTGCACAACAAAAATTTGGACTCCTAAATCACGGTAAGGATTGGTCATCACGTTTGCAAGTAAAACCCATTCAACCAAATAACTTCTCATCTCATTTACAGCTGCCAAACTAGCATTCTATGTACAATAAACAGGAGGCTGGTGGAAAATCCCATAGCAACAATTTAAAAAAAAAAACCGAACGAACAGAGTATACGGCAATCACACGATTCTTCAACAGATCAAACAATTTTTTAGTTTCAGCAACAATCCAAAATGATCAACAAAACTAAAATACTCACTAGAACCTAAGCTTCAAACAAATTACTGTCAACGCACGGCACCAAGATATGCAAGACCTAAGGCATCATCGACGACGGTGAGGAGGAAAGAACAGAGCAGCTTCGGTGATACCCAAATGTCGATGAAGGAAGATTCCAAGTGCCACCCAAAGATAGATAAAGAGGAAGATGAGATCCCCAAACCTGTTCGAACCCAACGTCAAGAAGAAGAACACCAGCCCCAACTGCCACCTTAAAGACAGAACGAAGAAGGTGAGACCCGGAACCAATTCAAAGATAGAACAAAAGGAAGGCAAGACGATCAGCTCGAGACCCATGGTACACTGATTAAACTTCCAACCAAACCCACTCGACCACCCATGAAGACGGATATGGAGGAATGGGGCAAGAAGAACCCATAGCTGATGACCATATACTGAAGACGGGAAGGCACGCTGATGAAAATATGGAGGGAAGGGGGGAAACGATCAGCTCGAGACCCACGGGACACTGATTAAACTTCCGGTGAGACCCACTCGACCACCCACAAAGATAGACACGAAGGAACGGGGCAAGAAGAACCCAGAGCTGATGACTGTATACGGAAGACTGGAAGGCGCGCTGATGAAAATATGGAGGGAAGCGGGGATTTTTTTTTTTTTAAGTTCCTCAATGTGTTATGGCTTCAGGCCCGAAATGGGACTGAAGCCATATGCACCATACGGCTGCTGGTAATGGGCCAGACGTAGTAGGCCTTTAAAAAACTTACATACAGCTTGTACTAAAAAAAAAAATTTGCACACAACATCTGGTTAGATATATACTAGATATTATACCTAATATAAATAGATAATTTCTTCATCTAAGTTTGAAATAAATCAAGTTTTTAATTGTATAAAATCATTAAAAAGAAAATTTCTCATTAAAAACCATTTAGTTAGTGAAAAAGAAAAAATAAAAAGAATTTAAAAAATATATTATTTCTATTTAAATAATTAAAATTTTTAATGGAATTAATTAAATAAAAATGAAACCATAGTATGTAATAATGCCTTTATACCTTATAGAAGAAGATGTCCTAATGCTATTATATGAAATGAAATATAATTTAAAATTATTTGGTATATTTATGGAGTCTGTTCAAAATTGAACAGAAGTCATATGTAAGTTTATGGCTTCAGGTCTAAGCAGGTTAGAAGCGAAAAGTGTTGAACAACATACAACTTCTGTTTCCTCTATAACTGACACCAAAAGTAGAAGCTAAATTGGTATTTTGCACTAGTGAGATAATCAATTAAGTGTCAGATAAAATGTCTCTGTTTGCTTAAAAGTTGGTACTAAATTTGAGCGATAAATTGATAGGTAATTCAAATTTTATGTGCTGATCGATCAATTGATTGATCATTATTAACACTGTTTGGTATAGAAGTCTGCAGAAAATTATCAATCACTTAATCGATAATTAGATAATCAAACAACTGACAAATAAAGAGACATAATTTTGGAAAGAATTTATCGATCATATGATCGATAAATAAGTTATCGATGAGAAGACAGATAAATGGTAAAGCTTTTTCACTTAAGTTATATTTGTCTCATTCACCATTCATCGATCACTTTATCGATTAGAGATTTATCGATAACCTGATCGAACATTACTTAATTACTCACTGGATTATTGATATATTTTTATTCAAGGTTGTTGTCTAGTTCTTTAATCGATTACTTGATCGATCAGTGCCTTATCAATCAAATGATTGGTCATCACTATCTCACTACACCTACTATTGTAAGTTATGTTTTTGATCACCTGATCGATTATTTAATTATTGATGAAATGATCGATAATCCAAACTTCTAAATATTCTGTTTTCACATAACTTGATCAATCAAGCCTTATCCTTGGATTCTTTAACCAAGTTTTTCAAACAATATTTTATCGATAACTTGATCGATCAATCTTTAATCGATCAACTACTCGAACATTATACACTATGTGATTTTGATGTGAAAAACTTTCCTTAACTTTTTATCGATCAATTTCTCTATATTTCATTTATCAATAAAATGTTCGATCAATGATGTTCAAAATCTTTTCCCTCTTACTTAGCTTTATCGATAACTTGATCGATCAAGCAGTTTTCAATCACTTATTCGATCAATGTACAAGTTCATTTCATAACAAGCTTTTCATGATGATTTCAAAGTCTCATATTTTTATCTTTAAATTTTTCTTAGCCTTCCTTTTACTCATAATTCTCTTTGAAGGGATTTAAAGGCGTAGGAGAATTTAAAAGCTTTAATCTTGAAATATCTCGTTTGAAGTCATTATATTTATTTCTCATTGTTTATCAATCACTTCTTCAATCAACTGTTAATCCATAACTTGATCAATAAATATACTTATCTGTTTCAAATTCTTTCAATTTGATTGATCAATAACTTGATCAATCAACCAGTTATCGATTATGAATTCGATCAAGGACATCTAGTTCATGTTTAATGCATCTGGTGATTGATTGATTCCCTTTCCAACTGCCACATGAATGTTTATTATTATCATCACTTGATCAGTTATCTTCATGAGTTTCATTCTGAAAGAAAAACTTATTAGTTTTAAGTATTGTTACAGAATACGAAGCTCAATAGATATTTAGTAGCCCTTAACCTACCATGTCAAAAGCATTAATGGCGAATACCATTGTAACTGTGAAAACACGCAAGCGAATTTCCAACAGCTAGAAGCTCTTCAATATAACAGTTAATTAAACTTCTCTAACTATAAAAGGCGCGAAGAGCATTGAATGAGTCATCGAATACGTGAGTTATCTTCTACTAAAATTTTTATTGTTGCATTCAGTACTCTGTTTTCTTCTTCACTGAGCTTTAGTGTTTTATACTTATTTACTTTGTGAGAGAGGTTGATATATTTACCTTACTCACTTTTAGAGAGTAACTCAAGAGTGTGGACTCTTAGAGGGATTGTAACCTTACGAGTAGTAAGGGGGAGTAATTGAGAAAATCAATTACTGTACTGAGGCGCCAAGAGCCCGTTTAATCTTAGATTATAGTAGAAATCTTAGAGGTGTTCTGAGGACTGAATGCAGGTCAAGTGGTTAAGACCGAACCAGTATAAATCTTGTGTCTTCGCTCTGCAGTGAAATCTTTCTAACTCAACGTTCTCTGTTTTTAT